ATAAATTACTATATTAGTGTACTGTCATAGTGCACTTTGTCACCATACATATTCATTTTGAAATTTAGGTGCACACAATCAGCCAGCAATCAGTCAATCAAACAGGTGCCGTCACCACAATAAAGGTTGGCCGCAATGGGTCTCAAACACACCATGTCTTTCGACCTGCTTTACCCTCTTTTATATTACTGTTCTTCAGTTTCTTGATGTTAGCCTCCCACTTCTATCGATGTCTGTCACTTGCTCGCTTGCCATCCACTTTTCCCTCCATTGTGGTTCCTAAAAGATTTTTTTTTTTTTTTTTTTTTTCTAATATGGCATAAATATTTAACTCGTCGTTTTTCTTTTATAACATTTAGCCGCTCTCTTTTTATTACTAACTATTCCCAGTCTTTGTATTTGACTGATGAATAGAATTTACCGGAACGTCACCTGAAAGTTTACTTTCCTGAGATGTTTACATACACACACACATACACACACGCGCACACACACATACATGAATTTAAAGAACAGGACATTTTCAAGCTCTAAAATTAGGGCATCATAATGGCAACGTCATTTGAACAATGTAACTAGAATGTCTTTGAAGTGGAACCTACAGGGACATTGAAATAAAGACAGGACACAAAAATGCACAGAAAAGGGAGGTAGTGGTGCAATTAGAAAAGTTATGAGGGGGGGGGGGATGGGGCGGCATGGAGTAATCTGCATTTAAACGTGAAAAACTGAAACAATAATTTAGTCTACAAATTCATGTTGTAAAAAAAATATTCATCCACAGTTTTGTGTTCTCATTCAAACTCATGTTTGTCACCAACATATGCATTTTGAGGTTTATATACTCAGAATCGATCAATGGGTCAAACAGGTGTTGTGACCAGAATAAAGGTTAGCCGTAGTGTTTCCCATAGACATGCTAGACAGACAAAGATACTGAGATAAAACATACTTAAAATGTACAAGAATTATATATTTCTCATAACAATGCAAGGACAGGAACAGAATAAATGTTAAACAAATGCATCAGCTGAGACATGTATTAAGCATATTTATAAACAAAATAGTTTTTTTTTAAACAAATAGCTTTATAAACAAATAGTTTTATAAACATATAGTTCTATAAACAAATGAATTCGAATAAAACATCGGAGTAGACTAACAGACCTGTTGACTTTATACTCTCGATGTTCATCACAGTGTATGCATCGGTACCGCTGCAGCTACCTGCATGTGAAGCTACCACACACACACGCACACACACACACACATGATGGGGGAGGGGAGCAGCGTCCGACAGTACTAAACCTTGTTTAAGTACATAAAAGTAATAATTACATATCTAAATAGCAAATTAATACAATAATCGCTTATTGATACGATGGTCTCCCCATTTGCACACCACAGGTTTAGATCAACTCCATTGATAAGTTGGACTGGTCTACAGTGGTCGAAGTTATGGGTGTCGCAGTCTGTTGTCTGGTATTTACGTTTTTATTTCCAAGAAAGAGACAGCCTGTGACATAGGTTTTGTCACTCTATAGGGGAGTTGTGTGTTAGACCCAGTATCTAAATGTTTCAGAAATGTTAAAAGCTCTGGCATGGTAAAATTTACAACACGCGGTATGAGTGCGAGTGCGAAATATCCCCGTGACCGTATGTGAAAGTCGCATCGCTCGAGGCTGACCTATCAGAAGTGAGGTGGACACTAGGTAATCCAATCAGAAGTGAGCTAGTGTGTGGCGGTGTGTAAATGGGGAGATGAGCGTAAAATTTACCCAATAATCTATTAGGAATCGTACGAAATGTACAAATACTTTAAAACCAACAAACAAAAAACACACCCACGCACACACAAATTACTTCTTTACATGGTTGGGAGTGGGGAAGGGTGGGGGGAGGTGGTGGATGCGAAAAAGCTGCCACTTGGCCCAGTTTGAAATATTCGGGGAAGGGGGAAGCTCAACTGACGATTTTTTTTAAATATGACCCTGGCTTCAAGGTCGAACCAGTCGAATATGGGCGTCCATGTTGACCCCAACACCTAGCGAGGACTAATTTGATGAGTCTGTTCATTGTAATAGCACTTTATATATATATATATATATATATATATATATATATATATATATATATATATATATATATATATATATATATATATTCCCCGTGTGGGTTCCAGGGCCCTATTGTGGGAGGATTAAGAATAAACCCACTGCCTTACCAACAAGCAGGTCGTAAGAGTCGACTAATTGGTGGTTTCCTTCAAAGTCGAAGTGCATCTGTCTGAGAGGCAAAGAGCCAACGGTTTGCATAAAAATAAATCAGATCGGTAAATCGAACGTGCACGCAACACCCCGGTTCTGGAGTAGTCTAAAGTTGAGCCAGAACTTTCCACTGGAGTTAACAGCCGGTAAATGAGAAGAATATATATATATATATATATATATATATATATATATATATATATATATATATATATATATATATGTGTGTGTGTGTGTGTGTGTGTGTGTGTGTGTGTGTGTGTGTTTATCTGTACATATATATCAGCTGGGGGGGGGGGGGGACTGGAGTTCTTATTACTTATTCTAAGCCAATGAAACTAAATCATGGACCAGGGCGCAGACAAACAGAAAACGCCGTGTGTGTGCATGCGTGTGGGAGGGGGCGGGGCTGAACCAACCAGGAACTAAGCCTTGTTAAATTTATTAAATAAATATTATAATTAATAATAATTTATTTTTCACGTTTCGGCGGAGACTCAGTGTCCCGATGTCACCAGGTTCTGTTGCTCCTAGTCATAGTCCGTCTACCGAAGTCAGAAAGCGGCGAGAAAGTAAAAGAGTATCAAAAGAAATGGCAGGAAAGTAACTCTGACAGAGAACTATTGGTAGCAACTCACAACAGAAAGGTGCAATTTACATTCGTTGAGAATGTCATGAGAAGATGAAGCGAAGACATCGGGAACGTCTAAGGAGAAAAGAGGCAGAGAACTAAAAGAGAAGACATTAGGTCGCTTGATATAATGGCATGGATAAACATCTCTGTTTGAAATTATCTGCAGTACATAAGTCAGAGGCTTTTGGGATACTCAACAGCCAATATCACATGATGTGAAGAAGAAGAAGAAGAAGAAGAAGAAGAAGAAGAAGAAGAAGAAGAAGAAGAAGAAGAAGAAGAAGAAGAAGAAGAAGAAGAAGAAGAAGAAGAAGAAGAAGAAGAAGAAGAAGAAGAAAAGAAGAAGAAGAAGAAGAAGAAGAAGAAGAAGAAGAAGAAGAAGAAGAAGAAGAAGAAGAAGAAGAAGAAGAAGAAGAAAAAGAAGAAGAAGAAGAAGAAGAAGAAGAAGAAGAAGAAGAAGAAGAAGAAGAAGAAGAAGAAGAAGAAGAAGAAGAAGAAGAAGAAGAAGAAGAAGAAGAAGAAGAAGAAGAAGAAGAAGAAGAAGAATAAGAAGAAGAAGATTATTCCCATATAACAATGCTATTTCTAACACAGCAACACATACTTTAACCACATACAATGCACGAAGAGCTCAATGTTCAAAAAAAGACATCAACGTTCTTATCTACCCTTATATAATTCGTCAACTAATGCAACAAATCACTGCCTAGTCAGCATTATAGTCGTCCATATCTTTCCTACTTTCTTTGTACATAAAATGTATAACATTGACTCCAGTTCGACTGATTTTCGTGTTTAAAGCGGTAGTAACAATGCAAGATTTTTTACACTGCCCAAGAAAATGGATTATGGTGTAACTTGGAATTACTGCAGTCAAGCTAATATCAAGAATGCTAAATACAGAAAAATCAGTAACTATTTTAGAAACTTCAGCGGAGGGAATGAAAAGGATGCCATAAGATTATGCACCCATATTCTATTACGTTTAGAATTGATGATATTAATCAAGAGATGGTCAGGTGGTGAGAGATACAAGGATATTTTGCCCAGGCCATGTAGACATGTTTGGCAATGAACAGGCAGATAGGATGTCTGTACTGGTCCACACTGGGGGTGTGCTGCAACTGCACAAGACACAGGTAATTTCTCGCCTGTAGGACAAGGTAACAAATAAATAGGAAGTTATAGAAACCAGTACCTGGTGAAATAATGCAGAGTGAAAGTGTCTGCGGGTTCTAAATGCCAAAAATAGACTACAGAAAAAGTCACATGGAAGGGACACTTGAAAAAAGGAAACTATGGACGGGACAGCTATGATGAAACGAAATATGAGCGAAAGCACAGTGAAAGGAAGGTTGTTCACAATTTGAGCAACGAAAAACCAAATAACAGACTTCGCATCTTATTGCTTGTCCTATTTGTGCCTTCTCAGTTACAAATCACAACTGAGAAACATTGCTTTTAAATACATACAAGTATAATAAATAAACGAAGATACACGGAACATTTCCTAATCACAGTTTCTAGTTTGCTAAATTACTTCTTGATATTAGCTCTGATTCAGTTACACATATTTTCACAATGAACTAGCGACTAATGTCTCTTCATCCCCTTGTGGGATCACATTTTTAGTTATTTTAAAACCCCACCCTGGCCTTTGCCGGGAGCCCTAAATATAGCCGGGCCTGGAATATTGCCTAACTGCTGAACGGGGTTTCTGAGACCTCTCCACGGGTAACCCTCATTCGCATGGTGGCACTTTGTGTCACCGGGTGTTTATCGCTTGTGTGATGTCCTGGTTGGGTACAACTTACACACATACATTTACAATGATCTGCTTGGAATGTCAAGGTGCGAATGAAATAGCCACACGAGTTTGTAAAATAAACATCGTTATTCTTATCCGAACAGCATGTTCCTCCAACACAGTGACTAAACGGGCTAGTCGGTAGCAGTGACTATACCAGTATGTGCTACTAGGCAAGCAAAGCTCCTGCCTAAACTGGTACATATGGCGATCAATGTTACATTTTGACCAGTGCACCGATCTGCACGAGACCTGTTTGCTTGTTGGGCAGCGAAACAAGTTTATAAAAACATTAATATATACAGTTAACATCTTCCGTTTCGTTAATTGGAATGAACCCTTTTTTCTTGGTTTTATCAACATCAGTAATATCAAAGGCCACTGAAGATTTATTGTTATCAAGTTCTTCATCAACAAATCCATCACTATCCGCATCTGAATGATTATCCTGCTCGTCGTTGTCGTTGCCACCGCTCTGGGCTTTGTCATTCATCGATACACTTTCACTATTGCACTTTCCTTCTTTGTCTCTCTTTTTGGAGTTTCGAAGACCTTTAAACACGCGGAATCGTTTGTCTTTGCTGTTTTTCTTTGTACTTTTTGGGGAAGTCGTATTTAAGACGCTCTTTAATGATTTGTTGACGCTGTCAACTGGTGAACACATGTCGCTTCCATTGGCGCTCAGATAACCTTGGTCATCAGACATCAGCCTGTTGATTCCAGAGAAACTGTTTGTGTCTCCTGGCCTAGTTTTGACTCCATAGTTTTGGATAGCGCAGTCATCAGATTCAAAAAAGGTAGCCCCACCATTGATTGACGGCGAAGTGGCTCCTAGAGTAAACACTATATCACCATCAGCATTGAAGTCATTCTCCTCGGACTCAAAAGCGGGATTGTCTAGACCAGCAGAAGCCAAAGACTCTTCGTCTACAGTTTCTATCTCCATGTTATTCATAGTAAAACTTTCGTTGGCTGGTGTCTCGCTGAGACGTCGTATGACTTTCCTATAATCCCTAATCCTCTGGGCCTCATCTTCATCAATATCGTCTTCCTGGTTGTTGGAAGAGCTACTGTCATCATCTGCATCAGGAAGGAAGAATCGTTCTCCTGTCTTCATGGGGCACTCATCTTCATAAGACACTTCCGGAATGGCGTAAAACGAATGAGAGTTGGTGTCGGAATTGTGTTTTTTGCTGGAGCAGGATTCAGACTTACTTCTGTTCTTTCCAGCAGTTTTTTGAACCCGTTCATTTTGAATTTTCTCCAGCTCGGCATCGACTTTGGCAGCTGCATACAAGAGATGCCCATCTGACATAGAATGTGGCAGAAGATTGGTTCGCGAGACACTTCGACTCTTCACAGAGTCCATGTAGTCGTACATGATTGGTCCTGCGTGGTGCCAGCTGGTGGCCTTGCTGCCTGCCAGGTGCTCTAGACTCATGACTTTGTTAATCTCCAGAGTTAGGCCCTTCTCATCACGCCTCCAGCCTTGCTGGGCTTCATTGATGATGTCTGCTAGTTCCACGCGGTCAAAGGAAAGGTGGTTCTGCAAAGAAATTAGTGTTGGGTTAGTCAACGATTAATATAAGAGAAATAATGAACTCGAATTCTTGGTGACAACTGCCACATTTATACAATCCTGCCCCCACCCCCTTTTTCCCCATAATGTGAAGACACAAACAAATACGTATTTAGATGCATTGGTCATCAGACATCAGCCTGTTGCTTCCAGAGAAACTGTTTGTGTCTCCTAGCCTCGTTCTGACACCATAGTTTTGGATATTGCAGTCATCAGACATCAGCCTGTTGCTTCCAGAGAAACTGTTTGTGTCTCCTAGCCTCGTTCTGACACCATAGTTTTGGATATCCCAGTCATCAGACATCAGCCTGTTGGTTCCAGAAAAACTGTTTGTGTCTCCTAGCCTCGTTCTGACACCATAGTTTTGGATATCCCAGTCATCAGACATCAGCCTGTTGGTTCCAGAGAAACTGTTTGTGTCTCCTAGCCTCGTTCTGACACCATAGTTTTAGATATTGCAGTCATCAGACATCAGCCTGTTGCTTCCAGAGAAACTGTTTTTGTCTCCTAGCCTCGTTCTGACACCATAGTTTTGGATATCCCAGTCATCAGACATCAGCCTGTTGGTTCCAGAGAAACTGTTTGTGTCTCCTAGCCTCGTTCTGACACCATAGTTTTGGATATCCCAGTCATCAGACATCAGCCTGTTGGTTCCAGAGAAACTGTTTGTGTCTCCTAGCCTCGTTCTGACACCCTAGTTTTGGATATCCCAGTCATCAGACATCAGCCTGTTGGTTCCAGAGAAACTGTTTGTGTCTCCTAGCCTCGTTCTGACACCATAGTTTTGGATATCCCAGTCATCAGATACAAAAATTGAAGGCCCACCATCGATTGGCCTTTGAAGTGGCCCCTAGAGTAAATACTATATATAAAACTGGACTCTCCTGTTTTGTATAAATAAAAAAGAGCACGTGATAAAATTGAAGTTATGGTAATCAAATGACTGATTTTGAATTGCTGTTGGATAGGTGAACAGCCTAAATTGACTATGCGATTTATATATTTTCTATTGAATCAGCTCAGGAGTAATGCACCTGACAAGATACAGCGAAATATGCCAAGCAATAAATTGTGTGTTCTATTGTTTGTGTCCACGTTATTTAAATATCATTTTGTCAGTGCTAGACAGTCATAAAATGAAAAAATAAATTAAAAAAAAAAAAACCTTTGGAAATATAACCACAATAAATCTACAAATAAAGTTTACTTTCAGTAAATTCGCACAGACATTCAGTCCACACAGTTCTGTTAACCTACCCGTTGAGACTGAAAGGGTGAGAGGTTGGCTCCATTTGAAGAGAAGCTGACGCTAGGTATGGTCTCCTGTTTGGTCTCTCCTTCAGCAACGATGGATATCACTGAGAGTCTGGGTTTCCTGAACGCCAGCTTTTGTTTAATCTGGTGAAGTAATGGTGTTTGAGTATATTACGTCAGTACAGTATTTGACGGTGATAGAGTAGCCCATCGGCTAGCCAGTCGCCTGCAAACCCACAGGTCTAAGAATCAAATCTGTATCGAATCCAATTTTTTTTTTTTTTATTAAACTGACCCTTGGTTCCCAGATCAACCTAGTCTACAGTAAGCATCAGATAATGTCGTGGGAAGTAAAAACGGCCGGCGTAATATTGATTAAACATTTCAACAAATACCGATTATTCTAAAAATAGAGGTCTTCATTTCTTCCTACTATAATTCCTTTCTACTATAATTACTATCCCCCTCTCCATTCCTCCCTTCCTACTATCCTTTCTTCCACTTCCCTTCCCTTTTCCCTCATTCTCTTTTTTTTCCTTCCTCCTTCCCTTCTTTCCTTCCTTCCTCCATCCTTCCCTTCCTTTCCCTGCCTCCATCGCTTCCTCTTTTCTTCCCTTGCATCCTTCCTTCTTTCCTCACATCCTTCTTACCATCTTTTCCTCCTTTCATCATGCATTCCTTCCCTTCTTCTTCTATCCTTCCTTTCTTCCCTCCCTCACATCCCTCCTCCCTTCCTTCCCTCCCTTGCACCAAAGGCGTCAACAGCGTCATTTCCTTTTTAAGAGTATGTTCTCTTTTCCTGTGATTTGCACCCTCTACATACATCCGCAAAACAACACCAGCTGTTGTTTGCTATTTGTGCTTTTACTGGGGAATTACCAGTTACCAGTGCTAGAATATTAGTTGTGCTCGCATGTTTTCAACAGCAGAGCGACGAACACATCACGTAATACATTCTCCAACGCTTACAGATGCCAAATGATCACAGCTCAGCACTGCCTCTCTCTCTCTCTCTCTCTCTCTCTCTCTCTCTCTCTCTCTCTCTCTCTCTCTCTCTCTCTCTCTCTCTCTCTCTCTCTCTCTCTCTGTCGCTCTCGCTCTCTCCTCACACACGGTCTTTTATTTTCCTCTTGGACACGACTCTTTCTTTTACTGTTTCGTCAAGGTCAGAAAATTCAGCCCATGATTTAGTGAAGGACTGTTTAAAGAAAATAAACCGCGAAGACCAAAGAAGGTCCATCAGCGGGATAATAAAAAGTGTTACCTTGGATTTGAACTCGAGGATGACGTAGAGCACAGTGCCCAGCCCAGCAAACGTCATACACACGATCAGTTTGGTAGACACACACAAGTAGCTGGCGTTCAGGAACGTGATGGCGTAACCCAGGCTTCTCCAGGCGTGGAAGTTTGCAAAGGCTGGCTCCTTCTGGGTGGGGAACAACATGGCGATCAGAGCTGGAAGTTGTGGGTCAACACTTCGTTAATACAGTGCAGAATAATAAAGAGATCGGGTTAGGAAAATATGGGCAAAGACTTACAGCGGCACAAGAAGTACCCAAAAAAAGGAGAGGAAGAAAAGGCATACAGAGGAGGAGGACGACGATGAAGAGGAGAAGGAGGGGAGAAAAGAAAGAAAGAAAGAAAGAAAGAAAGAAAGAAAGAAAGAAAGAAAGAAAGAAAGAAAGAAAGAAAGAAAGAAAGAAAGAAAGAAAGAAAGAAAGAAAGAAAGAAAGAAAGAAAGAAAGAAAGAAAGAAAGAAAGAAAGAAAGAAAGAAAGAAAGAAAGAAAGAAAGAAAGAAAGAAAGAAAGAAAGAAAGAAAGAAAGAAAGAAAGAAAGAAAGAAAGAAAGAAAGACTGAGGAGGAAGAGGAATGATCAGAAGAGGAAAATGTTAAAAGTAGAGACAGGAGGAGGAAGAAGAAGAAGAAGAAGAAGAAGAAGAAGAAGAAGAAGAAGAAGAAGAAGAAGAAGAAGAAGAAGAAGAAGAAGAAGAAGAAGAGCGGTTAGGAGGTAAACGAGATAAAGAAGCCTGAACAGAGCAGTTCCTAGTCTCAGTATGAAAACCTAAATCTCGTCCCACATGTAGACTCAACAATTTAAAAAAAAAAAGTATCCAAGCCTACGTGACAAAAAACAGACTTCCACTTCTCATTATCTTGTCACTAATGAATGAGGAGTTCAGAAAATAAACACACCATCCTTATGTCAACAAGCCTATTGTTCCAATCGGTTATCCAGTGCGCTGTGACGGAGGGCAGAAACTCAAAACATAAGTAAAACATAACTTTCATTTAGGGACTCAAATATTTGTGGCTTACGTAGTAAGTCTGTAGTGCGCTAGGTTGGCTGGAGTCAGCTAGAAAGAGAATTTGCTGAAATCACGATTTCGTGTTTATCCACCGGTGGGTTTTCCTGTGTGGGCTCCGGTTTGGAATCCATGGCTCCTTAATAATAATGTGGTAAGAGGTGACTAATTAGGAATTTATTGAAAACTATTGTGGTGCAGATGTTGCCGCCTAGCTATAAACGAGGAGGAGGATAATGAGGAGAAGGAGAAGGAGGGGGAGGAGAAGGAGGAATGGAAGGAGGGGGAGATCAGAATGAGTGCTTTATATACCAGATTACTTAACTGAATCAACGATGGATTCTAGATTTAGTAACATAGATGAGAGAATACGCTTTAGATTCATTTTTAGATACCAGTTAATGTGATAAGTCATGGTTGAGTAACGATTAATGATGAGTAATGATTAATGATTAGTAATGATTGAGTAACGATTAGTAACGATTAGTCTGTTTGACTGAGTTATCAGATCTTTTCTGGACGGCAGCAATGGAAAGAATACATTTATCGACAAACACAAAGTGAAAGACACACACAAAAGTCTACTGACAAAAGAACAAAGAACACGAAAGACTTACCATTGGCCTGTGCTTGAAGAATACTCTCTGAGACACCCCAGACGATTGGTATAATGAAGATGACAGCTTTCTCGTCTGCCGTGGGTGTCCATCGAAAGAGGACGATAAAGAGAAAAATATGGGTCAAAAGAGACAACATCAGAAGCAGGAAACGGCCGGCAATCCTGGCCAAATGACTGAAGATGTAGACGAAGGCAGGAGTTGTCGCCCCGTAGACCGCCATCACATAACCCACCATGTGGATTCCGATTGGACAAGCCACGTAAGACTGTTGGAAACAAAGTTGATCAGATGGCAATTTAATTTAGTACATGGGAAATTGTAAACTTTTTTTTTATTTCTAGTTCACTGTATTCTTTTATGTAACGTGTTTCTCAATGTCTGAATACAACAGGCTGTGTACAAAAATGTAGCAAGCTCTGATGAATTGTAACATTGCACTAGTGGTGCTGAAATAAACAAGACAGGGGACACCTGACGTGGTAGTGACAAAAAATAATCGATCCGATGCTCTGCTAAAAAAAATACGTCTCATTTAACCAACATCCCCGAAGGGGGAGCTTTAGGTTATAATTGTGACTAGGTTATGTGCGGCACATAAAATCGCTTGACAATGCACGCCACCAAGAACCATAAATTGTTGATGCGATCAAAGGAGACAAACCCAAAGACTGTCGCGACCGGCAACGAAGTCATCTACCGGCGAACCAAAAGGCAATCCCGTCGTCGATGTAAAATAACAAATAGATAAACCAATCTGTTATATGTCGTCTGCTGGCCAGGCACCCTTACAACTGTGCCAGATCACATATGAATGGTGCCTGTTAGGATGACAATCTACGCTTCATAGATGAATGGTGCCTGTTAGGATGACAATCTACGCTTCATAGATGAATGGTGCCTGTTAGGATGACACTCCGTGCTTCACAGATTGTGTTTTTGTCATGTCCATATTTCAATCAGTCTCGTGATTTCACTGTCGGAATGTGTATATGTACTGCTCGCCTACAAACCACGGTAGCCTGCCTACTTAGCAGTTCTCTTGTCGGCTGGGCTAGCTAGAATCCCCAACGAAACAAACTGATACAAGCGATATGAAACTCAAGGACGATCCAGTTTAAACATTGGTACTAGGAAAGTTATGGGAGGGAAAGGTGGTCGGTATGATAGTGAGTATACCAAGAATCAAATGCCAGCTGATCCATCTGGTCTATAAAAGTGTAATACTAATCTGTATGTGCCCAACAAGAGCGGAAATGTCTCCTCTGCGTTGTGATTTTAACAAATTATATTGAACATAGGGAAACGATTCCATTCCATTCTATAGCTTTGTCTAAAAAATATTTTTTTTTTAAATTATAAAAAAAAAAAAAAATAACGGCGAGGCTAACTGGTTGCATCATCATCATGTGGCATACAGATAAGTACGGAAAGCATAACTCGCTAATCTTCCACGTCATCAGTGTACCGGATAAGGTCTATCTCCTACCGAACTGAGAGGAGTTGAGAACTGACATAATAGCACCGCGAGTATTTCAGTAAGCACACAATCCCGTCATCAGCAGACGGCACAGATTTCTGATTCTAATGGCATGAGTTGCCATTAGTTTCCTATCTTTTGCTAGTTGCATAAAGTTTGTCAATGTCAAAATGCGTTTCTGTGTCGTCTCTTTTACTCCTTTCACCCATATTTTTCTTAGTCGATCTTTTGCTTTGTAGCCTTCTGTTGTCATGTAATACATTCTAGCTATTGGCTGATTTTGTACCATTCTGACCACATGACCAAACCATTTGATTCTTGGATGTTCTAAGCAACCAGGTTACACAAACAAATATTAAACAAACATAAACAGCTGTGCTCACCTTGGTGTAAGCCGTAATCAAGAAGGCGTGTTCAGCGGCGGTGAAGAAGATCAGAGGAACCAGCAGCATCATGTTGACAGACATGAGAACCTTGAAACATGACGTGGCCGTGTCCCTCACGCTGACCCGCTGGATCCAGTCACTGCGGGGCAGCGGGGATAACAAAAAGATGACCAGGCCTAGTCCCAGCAGTGCACAGGCCATGAGGAAGCCCAGGGTTATGTCGATGACCCATTCTTCTGGGTCTTCGATCTGAAAATATCATTTCTTTTGCAATTAAAACGGAATTTTAAAGGGGAAATAATTAGTTTCATTGCACCGGACTGAACGGGATAAGAAGCAGACGGATAAAGACCTTACAACGACACAGACTCACTTACATCAGTTAGTTCAACACACTTTGCACTATAAAACAAACTAGCTTCTTACTTCTAACAACAAGGATTAAACTATCATTGGAAATGGAATACGTTCTGTTGAATTTTCGAGGTACTCGCCCTATGATAACCTGCCTACCAACCCTTCCTGTTATGATCACTGCCTGTAGAGTGTCTCAGTTCGGCAACACAGAGCTTCAACTGTTAAAGCGTGGATTTGTTTTACATAGCCTTTTCTTTATGTGATTGTTATTGTACGTTCGCGTCGTACGCTGATGAAGATCTTCTAGCCTCAATAATTAGTTCATTGCTCGTGATTATGGTTTTTGTAAAGCTGTCCAGTTCTACATCTAATCAGGATTAATATTTTTTTTTTAATACTGTCTGTTGCTTCAACAGGGGACAAAGAGACTGGACACAATGTCACCAACGAAAAAGATTCATAATCAGTCATACCCCTGCAACTTGTCACCAGAGAATGCTGAACATATGCCCCAACACTACGCTAACAGAGAAGCTATCAGACCTATTCAAACCACAATTAAGACAAAGCGGTATAAAGGTTTTTATAAAGGTTTTTATAAAGGTTTTCATAAAGGTTTTTATAAAGGTTTTCATAAAGGTTTTTATAAAGGTTTTTATAAAGGTTTTTATAAAGGTTTTTATAAAGTTTTCATAAAGGCCGCCTGATATAAGTTTTCTGAAAGAAGGATAGACGAAAGAAACAACAAGAACAAGAAGAAGCAATACCTCTAACAAAACTTACAGTGGAGTTCTCATGATGTGGGCAGTCCTGGGGTCCGCAGAACTTGACGGTGTCATCCGTGTCATTGGCGATGCCATCCCTGATGATGGTGCTGGTCACCAAGTTGCCCACTATTTGCGCAGTGGCGAACACAGCGAAGAAAAACCCGTTGAACCGGCTAAGGACGGTGTAGGGCGATGCGGACGATGACTTGGAGAAGGAGAATGCGCAGGCGGAAATATACAGCGCCTTAGAGAAAAAACATTTGACAACATATTACACACTGCATGTCCATTTTGAGTTCCACAAGCAAGTGACTCTTCTTGAAAGAAGTTTTTCGCCAGGGACACAGACTAGTATCATTTATTTATTTCATTATAGTCCTGTGTAGTCACTTTATAGTTAATACATATTTGTGTATGTGTGTAGTGTTGTTCTTTATGTGCCGATGAAGGCAAATCGGCGCAGCGTCCTTTGTTTGTTCATCGTGATCGTTTTTGTAAAGCTGACTTAAACTATTTGTTCTTTCTTACCCCTTTTTTTTCTCTCCCCTATAGTTTCCTACTCTTTTAAAAACGCTCACTAGGTCAGCACTGGGTCAGCACTAGATCAGCACTAGGTCAGCACTAGGTCAGCACTAGGTCAGCACTAGGTCAGCACTAGGTCAGCACTAGGTCAGCACTAGGTCAGCACTAGATCAGCACTAGGTCAGCACAAGGTCAGCACTAGGTCAGCACTAGGCCAGCACTAAGTCAGCACTAGGTCAGCACTAGGTCAGCACTAGATCAGCACTAGGTCAGCACAAGGTCAGCACTAGGTCAGCACTAGATCAGCACTAGGTCAGCACTAGGTCAGCACTGGGTCAGCACTAGGTCAGCACTAGGTCAGCACTAGGCCAGCACTAGGTCAGCACTAGATCAGCACTAGGTCAGCACTAGATCAGCACTAGGTCAGCACTAAGTCAGGTATGTGATGCTAGACATATTTTCATAAGCCAGTTGGCACTCGACGATGCTTGCGGTCAACATCTCACTTTATTTAGTCACATCGCTTACTCCGCGTGGAATGGGATCCTGGTCTTCAGTAGGCTAGTCATCGTCTGCCAGGTTGAAAGGCTTTCCCACAAAGATATCTAGATCCTGTTTGCGCTTTCATAGCATCAATGTAGCATACCAGAAACATACAGAACCTAGGCTGGAAATGTTAGTCTTTTACAACCACTTGCCAACCGGAAGGTGGCCATTTCTTCAGTCTGGATATTTCGCACTACTGGCATGCACAGGCCGTCCTAACTTCTCTAAACATTTCTTGGTACTGAGTTTAGGTTGGGTCGACCTGAGTTTCAAAACAATCTGCCTGGGTATAAATTCAAACACAAGACAGTCGTGCTGTCATGCAAGCCGCTGGTCACTGCTCTACCGTGTTTCTCGAAAATCCGCATGACTATGTGCACAATTGTTAAAAAACATAACATGTTTCAGTCTTAATTAGACTTAGTCGAGGTTTCAACATCATTGCAATCGGGTTTCCCCGTACTTGCTCCGTTCCTGTTCCAGTGAAAATCAAATGAAATGTCCCTCACTGTCGCATTTAAAAAACTGCTGGCTATATTGCGACCCCTGGCAAGAGCCAGTGTGGGGCTTCAAATAGCGAAACATTTCGTCTTGAAAAGGATGGCAAGTTAACTAATAATAGGTGAGCAATGCAGTGACTGATTGACTTTCCACCCCACCAAGGACATCACACAAGCGATAAACACACGATAAAACAATGTGCCACCATGTGGGTGAGGATCACCGTCGAGAGGTTCCAGAAACCGCGTTCAGCCTTTTCGGCCATATTTATGGCCAGGCTTTATTGCGGTCCCTGGCAAGAGCCAGAGTAGGGCTTGAAAAAACGAAAAATTTCATCCTAAAAAGGACGGGGAGTTACACTCACTCACTCACTCACTCACTCACTCACTCACTCACTCACTCACTCACTCACTCACTCACTCACTCACTCACAATGAGCAATGCAGTTTATTGTTAATGGAAGTAGTCGGGCACAATAAGTTGGCTATACTCACGTAGAACAATTATATAAGGCAGTCCACCAGCTCACACATAAGGTGTAATGACGTCTAATAATAAAGAATAAAACCATCGTGGAAATAAACACACCTTCTGTTCGATTTGTTTGGGGTTATGTCCCATGTAATAACCTGTCTCCTTTCTCTCTGGTGATGCTCAGCAAAGTAGTGGTGGAAAAAAACATTGAGTTATGTCACATGAAATAACCTTTTCCTTTCTCTCCGGTGATGCTCAACAAAGTAGTGGTGGAAATAAACATTAAGTTATGTCCCATGTAATAACCTGTCTCCTTTCTCTCTCGTGATGCTCAGCAAAGTAGTGGTGGAAACAAACATTGAGTTATGTCCCAAGTAATACTTTTTCTTTTCTCTCTGGTGATGCTCAGCAAAGTGGTTATGGAAATTAACATTGAGTTTTGTCCCATGTAATAACCTGTCTCCTTTATCTCTGGTGATGCTCAGCAAAGTGGTGGTGGAAATAAAGATTGAGTTATGTCCCTTGTAATAACATGTCTCCTTTCTCTCTGGTGATGCTCAGCAAAGTGGTGGTGGGAAATAAACATTGAGTTATGACCCATGTAATAACCTGTCTCCCAATCAATTCTCTTTGGTGATGCGCAGCAAAGTGGTGGTAGAAATAAAACAATTATTACTTGTTCCTGAATTTACGTACTGTTATGAGAATGATTAAGTACAGGCGAATTGTCGGATTTGGAACTCTACACTGGCTCCTGAAAATTAGGACGGAGAGCTTACTGGAATGCTATGATGTTAGTTCTTATCTCAACTAGCTCAACACATCTGACACTCAACTCTGCTCAAGTACCGCTGATAAACTCGCCATCTTTCCAAGTGTGTATTTTTTTTCTTGCAAAATACACAATCCCAATATCTTTTCATTGTAGTAGTAGCAGCCGCTACAGCTGCAGCAGCAGTTGTAGCGGCAACAGAAATATCTTCTTCTTCTTCTTCTTCTTCTTCTTCACCATCACCATCATTTTCTTATTTATCATCATCATCTTCTTCTTCTGCTTCTTCTTTTTTCCGCTTTCATCTTCTTCTTTTTCTTTTTTCTTCTTCTTCTTCTGCTTCTTCTTATGGGTTTAGTGTCCTTAAGGTTTTTTGATGCAGATATCACCCGCTTCCACTTAATTCTATGACGGTATTCTATTTCCAGTTGGTGACTCTAAGTTCTGGAGGAACTGTAATAATAACAAATAATAACAGCAGTGATAATACATTTTAGGTGTGATTTATTACCTGGGAAGTCCAAGCTGGCCCATGGAAGGCGCCTAAAGCTACGGCTGCTGGAGCCATGGTGGTAAACGACGGGTAAAAGTTTGCCAGGACATAGATGCAGTGTGCGGCAAACGAAGCCACGATAGCTGTCTTAGCGCCAATCAGGCCGATCACTGTTGGCGACAAGATACTGGATAAGATGGCCGTCCCGTAGAGGATGGCCAGGGAAATGTTTCCCAGGCTTTCTTCATCGTGCAGCGAACTGTGCAAATTCTGGGGATCATTGTAAAACACGATTCATATCTATCTGCGCATCAATTAATTGCATTCAGGTGGCGAGCGGTTAAGAACTCTAGGCTATCACTAGGGAGACGAGTTCAAATTTCTGGTACAGTAATGGAACTTTTTTCTTTCTTTTTTCTTATCTATCGGGAGCAAAACTATAGTCCTAGCCTGCACGATCTGTGGCGACTGCACAAGCTAGGCGGCCCCATATCCTCTGGCTCAACACCCCCTGCCGCCCCTATCTTATTCGACCCTAAAAATTAGTAAAAACAGGCGGGAGGCATGAAGGGCGAATGACAGAGAATGATGTTAAGTTTAAAATGGACACATTAGGCTGGGGCTCAGACAAATAGAAGAAATGGTTATTATAAAGAAAATGGACCATTCAATGCAACATCAGTGTGCATGAAACAGCCCTCAGACAAGTTGTTACGTTTACGTACTTAGGTTCCCTGGTAACAACAGAAAGATGATGTGTGTATTAAAGAAGATAAATGCACAATAGCCCAATCAAAGGCAGCATTTCACAAAATGAAGAATATTCTATGAAATTTTTCTTTGTCAATTGAGACGAGAATGAGAATTCTGAAGAGCTGTAAACATCCTATCCTCATATACAGAAGTAAATCGGGACAGTTGGCCAGTTAGTAAACAGCTGAGTGGCAGCGCACGAGATTTAGTTTTACAGACAAATGCTGATAAAACCCTTGACAGATGAAAATGGATGACGATGTCTTTAAAGAAACTGAAACTGCAAACGTCAGAAGCAGCAATCTATATTAGTTCGTAATGTCACGAAAAGAAGAAAACAGGAGTACCTTGTGACGGTCGGTAAGCTGCAGTACATTGTGACGGTGGAAAAGCTAGAGGGGGAAAGAGGCGGAGGGAGACAGATAGAGAAGATGTCGTACAGTTTGACGTTATGGCACTAAAATAGATCTGATTCAAAACTGACTGAAAGTAGACGAGACAGAAGGTTGTGAATAAACAGGACTACCAACGCCACACGGCTATGAGAAGAAGAAGTTATAGAGATGTAATTGGCGCCTTGCCTCGGTGATGCAGGAAAGCATAGACGAACGGGTTTGTTCGCTGCAAAGAAATCATTTGTACATTTGTAGGAACAATCATTATGGATGAAGCAAACAATGGGAGAATTATCTAGCTGGATCGACAGGAATGCATCACCATACTGAACCTTCATTCGCCGATCAATTTTCACAGGTTTCACACCTTTACTTTTTTAAAAGGATATGGAGGGGAACAGGGGAGCGGGGGGGGGGGGTGTAAATATGCCTCTGCTCCTCTTTGATACATCTCAAGAGTTGGGTGCCTATCTTTAAACTTTCACTGTGACATTACCGTGCTCGTCTGTACTTAACAATCCTGACATCCTTAGCAACAATATTGACAGGATAAATGACAATACCATTATTACTGTAATTGCAGTTAACACGTTTTAAGTTTTCATCTGAAGCCCTCTAGTAACTGAATAAAGAATGTTGGATGTAACAACATAATACTGTATTTGAGAATATGCAGTGAGGTTTTGGTTCTCAAGGTGATAACGTGTGAGAGGAATAGTACGGTAGCGTAAGATACTGTAGAGCATAATTACACATCAGTAGCAATAACTACACAGCACATTTTTAATACAGAATGATTGAATCAGCCAGCGAATCAGTCAGTCAAGGATTGAAATCACTGCACCCAGGAGATTCCCAGAGTGCTCCATCTGATTCCTCAGTAGTCGAAGAAGAGTCGACATGTCAACAGTACAGCTGCAACCTGATTACAAATCAGCCGGTATTGTTCACCCTCAGTGTTGAATATCTTCCAGAATCTCTACTACCCCCCCCCCCCCGCCCCCCATTTCCACCCAACTAATCTTTCCATGAATAAATTCTCTAAATGTTATACTACACTGTCTATCTGATCACAGAAAGCCTTCACCGCTTTATCAAAACGCAGCTCACATCTCAGAGGAGCGGCAAAAATTTTTTTCCCAGTTAGGTGAGTCTCCTTAACATGACATTGCAGGGTGATTTATTAATATCCTACCCCAAACAGGGACAATCCACAGGTCAGGAGACAGTCTAATATTTCAGGAGGTGGTAGATAGGCTGCATGCAGTCGTAGGACCTAGGTTGCATGCATTTGTGGGACTTTGGCTGCACTCTCTCGTGGGGCAGAGGTGGGTTGGCGTTAGGGCCAGTTCTTAATGTTTTGGGGTCGTTAAAAGCATCAGAAAGCCGAGAAACCCAGTCTTACCACCCTCTACAATGTTGGACTGTCATGTGACGTCATCTGAGGAAATATATTAATAAAGAACCCATTGCAGAGCCAAACCCATCATTTGTTGGTTGTCTAGTTTTACTAGGCAAATGTATGTTCAATAGTTTGCCATTTCCTGCGCAACAGTAGATAACACCATCGAAATCAACATAGAGAGTGGTCTTAGAAAATATTAGAGGGTATATTTCTACAAACAAAGGTGCTGACTAGAAAACATATGAGCTACGTCAGCAGCCAGTACAGTGTTCCACTACTTGTAATAAATGTTGACGTATGATTTTAAGTCCCGTGCCCGCCCTTTGAAAGTTGGCTGTGGACCAGGCCATCTGGTCATTACCTTTTATAACATTTCATTTTTGTTTACGCAAAATCTATGTGAAGTAAAAAAAAAAAAAAACGGCAAATATAAATCGTATTTTAAAAAAAATCGAATCCGGATCGGCTATTGTGTAGCGGCTAGATGCTTGATCAGAAGGTCGTGGGTTCGGATCCATACAGAACCGGACTGTTTTCAAAAATAACCTTGACTCCTAGGTCGACCCAGCATTGAGTAGGTAGCAGGAAGGGTCCTGGGAAGTAAAGACGGCCGGTGTGATGTTGACCACCTCACCCACCAAGTACTGATTGGTCTATAAAACATACATCCAACCCTTTATGCCCAGTACGCTTAAAGGCGTGGAAAAGCGACCTTGACTTTAGTATAATATCTATTCACACTTCCGTATTGTCCATTTGTTCGTAAAAGTATCAACGTATCGTTAAGTGGTGCAGAATTAGCCTGTCTGTCTGCTGGCTTTTTTTTTAAATCAAACACACCAACATGCCCTAAAGGAAATATCAACAGGATATTCATGTTGCATGACACTCCGTGTTAAACACGCCTGTCTCCGCCGTTCTGGGGTCCTAATTTAGCCCAACGTGGGGGTTGAACGGGGTTTCTGGTACCTGTCTCCCAGCGATGCTCATCCATGTGTTGTCACTGGGTGTTTATCGCTCGGTGTAATGTACTTGTGGGGTTAAACGTCAGTCACTAAGTTCGCTGCAGACACGTACGTGGTCGTGGTCGTAGCAAAGTGGTCAAGCAATTTGTCTCGCGCTGTTAATGTAGTGGGCTCGCCTCACCGATTGAGTCGTTCTGTTTAGGGGTGCACTTTTTAGGGAGATCCATAGGAATCATCATTATCAGAGCTACAGAGTTCGTGCTTTATGCGACTCGCTTGGCTGGAGGCTAGCCGTTATGAGAAGAGAGACCGAGCCATACAAGAGAATTCCAAGCAACCAAGTCAATCGTCCTGACTTTAACTTTGAGGTTACAGTCACTACAGCGCATGCAGTTTCTCCTGTCATAGGACGCTGCAGTATCCACCCTACCTCCCAAAGCCTCAAGTAGAAGGAAACATGTGAATGTAAGTGAGCCAGTAAGAAGTAACGGTAGAGTAGACTCGAGTCCACTAACATACGTACAGGTAGCACAAGCGACTACAATAAGTAAAAGAAAGTAAAGTATAAGTAAAAGAAAGTAAAGTATAAGTAAAAGAAAGTAAAGTATAAGTAAAAGAAAGTAAAGTATAAGTAAAAGAAAGTAAAGTATAAGTAAAAGAAAGTAAAGTATAAGTAAAAGAAAGTAAAGGACCCTTTTTTTCCCGCCCTCAGGCCAGTTGGGCATATAGGGCTAAACCTATATCTTATAGACCAATCGGCACTTGTTGGATGATGAGGTCAACTCTATGCCCGTCGCCTTTACTTCCCAGGACTAAAACAAGTACAATAAGATGTGTAAAGGTAATATAAGCAAGTAGACTAAGACCACATCAGCCGCTGTTTTACGTACCTGTAAAGCGTTGAACGCGGTAAACACCACTTGAAAAGCAAACGTGATCACAATGGTATTTTTGATTTCTTTGCCCTCTAAGCTAACCTCATCTACACACTTGTGGTGGATTTCTACAGCTCCGCAGCATCTCATGTCGTTGGTAGGTTGTGCTTCAGCTTCTTTTGCTTGGGGATCTGGTCAAAATCAACGTTGGTTTCTCTAGATTCACAACGGCCTGTCAGATAGCCATGTCTATGTTGCCTCTCAGAAAGATCTAATCTAGAAGAAAGACAAAAATACAGTTTAGTGAACGTGCATTTTTGTTGTTGTAACATACGGATGCGAGTCATGGACAGTTTCAGAATCCTTGAAAAAGAAAATCTGAGATTCGTAAACTAAATGTTGCAGAAAAATCTTTTAGAATACTGTAAATTAAGAAGGCGGCGTCCGTGGCTTAGGCGTTGCGAGTCTGACTCGTTATACCAACATTATACCGAAACATACTGCTGGCTGCGTGAATTGTTATCATAGTATGGGGCGCCGCAGGTCGAACCAGCCTAAAATGGGTACCATAATGGCTGTCCTGGGGAAGTAACGACGGCCGGCGTAAATCTGACCACATTACCCACCTAGTGTTGATAGTCTGTAAAAATGTGGGTGCTATTCCTATACACCCAATACGTCTAAAAGCGTGAAAATGCATCTCTTCTTAGAAATCAACAAGAAGAAAGAAGGTGGCACTTGAAAAGATAGAACATTTTTTGAAACAGATCTCTGTCATGGAATATATAAATTTAAAAAAAAAAAACATACTGAGATATAATGTTGAACCAGTGTACTGTTATATGGCTGTGAGTCTTGGAATGTTGAACTAGTGTACTGTTATATGGCTGTGAGTCTTGGAATGTTGAACCAGTGTACTGTTATATGACTGTGTGTCTTGGAATGTTGAACCAGTGTACTGTTATATGACTGTGTCTTGGAATGTTGAACCAGTGTACTGTTATATGGCTGTGTGTCTTGGAATGTTGAACTAGTGTACTGCTATATGACTGTGTCTTGGAATGATGAACTAGTGTACTGTTATATGACTGTGAGTCTTGAAATGTTGAACCAGTGTACTGCTATATGACTGTGAGTCTTGGAATGATGAACCAGTGTACTGCTATATGGCTGTGAGTCTTGGAATGTTGAACTAGTATACTGTTATATGACTGTGTCTTGGAATGATGAACCAGTGTACTGCTATATGGCTGTGTGTCTTGGAATGTTGAACCAGTGTACTGTTATATGGCTGTGAGTCTTGGAATGATGAACTAGTGTACTGTTATATGACTGTGAGTCTTGAAATGTTGAACCAGTGTACTGCTATATGACTGTGAGTCTTGGAATGATGAACCAGTGTACTGCTATATGGCTGTGTGTCTTGGAATGATGAACTAGTGTACTGCTATATGGCTGTGTGTCTTGGAATGTTGAACTAGTGTACTGCTATATGGCTGTGTGTCTTGGAATGTTGAACTAGTGTACTGTTATATGGCTGTGAGTCTTGGAATGATGAACTAGTGTACTGTTATATAGCTGTGTGTCTTGGAATGTTGAACTAGTGTACTGTTATATGGCTGTGAGTCTTGGAATGATGAACCAGTGTACTGTTATATGGCTGTGTGTCTTGGAATGGTGAACCAGTGTACTGCTATATGGCTGTGAGTCTTGGAATGATGAACCAGTGTACTGCTATATGGCTGTGAGTCTTGGAATGATGAACCAGTGTACTGTTATATGGCTGTGAGTCTTGGAATGATGAACTAGTGTACTGCTATATGGCTGTGAGTCTTGGAATGATGAACTAGTGTACTGTTATATGGCTGTGTGTCTTGGAATGTTGAACTAGTGTACTGTTATATGGCTGTGAGTCTTGGAATGTTGAACTAGTGTACTGTTATATGGCTGTGAGTCTTGGAATGATGAACCAGTGTACTGTTATATGGCTGTGTGTCTTGGAATGATGAACCAGTGTACTGCTATATGGCAGTGAGTCTTGGAATGATGAACTAGTGTACTGCTATATGGCTGTGTGTCTTGGAATGATGAACTAGTGTACTGCTATATGGCTGTGTGTCTTGGAATGATGAACTAGTGTACTGTTATATGGCTGTGTGTCTTGGAATGATGAACTAGTGTACTGTTATATGGCTGTGAGTCTTGGAATGTTGAACTAGTGTACTGCTATATGGCTGTGTGTCTTGGAATGTTGAACTAGTGTACTGTTATATGGCTGTGAGTCTTGGAATGATGAACTAGTGTACTGTTATATGGCTGTGTGTCTTGGAATGATGAACTAGTGTACTGCTATATGGCTGTGTGTCTTGGAATGATGAACTAGTGTACTGCTATATGGCTGTGAGTCTTGGAATGTTGAACTAGTGTACTGTTATATGACTGTGTCTTGGAATAATGAACTAGTGTACTGTTATATGGCTGTATGTCTTGGAATGATGAACTAGTGTACTGCTATATCGCTGTGAGTCTTGGAATGATGAACTAGTGTACTGTTATATGGCTGTGTCTTGGAATGATGAACTAGTGTACTGTTATATGACTGTGTGTCTTGGAATGATGAACTAGTGTACTGCTATATGGCTGTGAGTCTTGGAATGATGAACTAGTGTACTGTTATATGGCTGTGTGTCTTGGAATGATGAACTAGTGTACTGCTATATGGCTGTGTCTTGGAATGATGAACTAGTGTACTGCTATATGGCTGTGAGTCTTGGAATGTTGAACTAGTGTACTGTTATATGACTGTGTCTTGGAATGATGAACTAGTGTACTGTTATAAGACTGTGTCTTGGAATGATGAACTAGTGTACTGCTATATGACTGTGTCTTGGAATGATGAACTAGTGTACTGTTATATGACTGTGTCTTGGAATGATGAACTAGTGTACTGTTATATAACTGTGTCTTGGAATGATGAACTACTGTACTGCTACATGGCTGTGTGTCTTGGAATGTTGAACTAGTGTACTGCTATATGACTGTGAGTCTTGGAATGATGAACCAGTGTACTGCTATATGACTGTGTCTTGGAATGATGAACCAGTGTACTGCTATATGACTGTGTCTTGGAATGTTGAACCAGTGTACTGCTATTTGACTGTGAGTCTTGGAATGTTGAACCAGTGTACTGCTATATGACTGTGTCTTGGAATGTTGAACCAGTGTACTGCTATATGACTGTGAGTCTTGGAATGTTGAACCAGTGTACTGCTATATGACTGTGTCTTGGAATGTTGAACTAGTGTACTGCTCTATGACTGTGAGTCTTGGAATGTTGAACCAGTGTACTGCTATATGACTGTGAGTCTTGGAATGTTGAACCAGTGTACTGCTCTATGGCTGTGTGTCTTGTAATGTTGAACTAGTGTACTGCTATATGGCTGTGTGTCTTGGAATGTTGAACCAGTGTACTGCTCTATGGCTGTGTCTTGGAATGTTGAACCAGTGTACTGCTATATGACTGTGAGTCTTGGAATGTTGAACTAGTGTAACAATACGCTCGGTGACTCCAGAATGTCTTTCCTCAACCTACTTTTATTTCTTTGTATTTTGAAAGTATACAGGAAAATAGGGATTTGGATACATCCTTAATGACGACCACATCACACCTTTAATTCTCCTGGACCGTTGGTCATATCAAACACTAAAACTTTTTCCCCAGATGTTAAGTGTTAAGGTACAGAGATAAGACTGACCAAGCAGACTTACTGACTGGAGATTTGCACACCATTTGTTGGTGTCAGATAGTTATTCCCCCTGCCAGATCTTCAGGAACAGATAACAAGGGCTAATTGCCATTATCTCCCCCTGAGGTTACCTAACTCGACGGCAGGTCCGACGGTCACTATTGACACAGTGAGCGGAAAGTGTGGGCAGAAGAATTGACAAAGTCGGATTTTATTGTGATGACAGGTGAAGTAGACTGGAGGTGTGACTTGTCTTATTTGCTCTGGTCAGCTTAATTGAACCAGGAGATCCTAGCGTGGGAATTCAAACATGTTGTACAGTCACTGACTGTCAGGGAATATACACCCACAGGGGAGGAGCTGTGATATCCCTGAATGAGAATGATTTTAGGCGTAATGTAGTAGGAGCTTAATAAAAGTTATAAAGGGGTGAACTATAGGTCTGGTAAATGAGATCCTGTCGAGCACATGCCATCTGTTGGGCTTAACCTAAGCTTGAGACAGAACTTTTGGCATTGTGGTTTCATTTTTCCAGGTAAGATCGAAATTAGTTTCAAAACCTTTATTTTATTTATGATAGAGATCTAACTGTCTTTTTGCTCAAGTGTGTGTCTTCACCACTTTGTAGTACTCCTAGGCGGACATTTCTTCATTCTCGTAGGGCACTGTCACATTGCTTTATTTCCTATTTGATAGTGTCATGAATGTTTTTCGGGCACATGTGTTTCAATGTTGTAAAACCTAAATGTTGTTGTTGCCATTGAAATTTAATGAACTATCATGTTTAGAAATCACAAGCGTGAAGATAACTCTGGCAATCTTTTCACGTGTGGTTAATGTGAATCTGTATTACATACAGCTAACACACTGAAATGTGTTTAACTCTCGGGAGGCTAATGCGGAGATTGATCCCGGCGAGTAAATCCGTGAGATTTGGTATTTGATTCGCCCCAGAACTATTGTTAGCATTCTGGGCGCGTCGATTGTTCCAAGCATAGATTCCAGAACTGGTTCCGTCTGACTGATTGTCATTTTGAGTCTGTACGAGAGATGGCACCTGACGTAGAAGACTTGACTATCATTACAGGACGTGTAGAGGAAGGCAGAAGATGTAACAGTTAGAATGTGAGACATAAGCCCTTCCAAATTGGACAGGAGTGAATGTGAGCATGAGGGAGAGATGAAATGTTTTATTTAAATAAACATGCTTGATGTTAGTATAATATACATGCTTAGTGTACATCTAGAGCAGATACTACAAATACGCGCTTGTTTCTTCATTCTCCAGTTCCCACATTGGGCAGGGACTAGTAGGCATCCATTATTTGCCGACCGTCGCTGTGAGTCTTGGAATGATGAACTAGTGTACTGCTATATGGCTGTGTGTCTTGGAATGTTGAACTA